GAGGAAAAGTACTTTTTCCTCGTAAGCTCCTCGTAAATTTACTAAGGTCTTACGAGGAAAGTATTTCCTCGTAAGTTTTCGAGGAGCTTACGAGGAAATTTGCTTTCCTCGTAAGATCCTAGTAAAGGCTTAGTAAATTTACGAGGAAGAATTTTCCTAGTAAAATTTCCTAGTAAATGCTTTGTTTTCTTGTAGTGTTAGCAGTGTAATCCTTTCTCAACCAGTTTGCCTCTTGCATGTATCCATTGGCTGTTGATTTCAACTGATTATGAAAAATTCAGTTAGGTATGAATATGAGGATTTCAAATAAATAAATAAACATATAAAGTGTTCTTAAGGTCTTAACTGATTTTTTAAGATGGAAGCCGCAACCTGACCTTCCTTGCTTCTCAAGTTCCAACTCGAGTTTATCATAGAAACCAATTATGACACGGTAAAGGTGTTTCATGCTGTCAGGTATCCCGTTAGGTGCTTCGGGAAGCCACCTGTATTAGAGCAAGCCATGTTATAAGCCAGCCATTGTCGAATACAAAATACATAAAAATTCTTTAAAGATTTTGAAAACGAGTACTTTTCCAATGCATATGTGAAAACCTCAAGTTCCTCTTTTGTGCCATACGCATCATAAGTATCATCAAGAGCTGTGAGTAAGATGACTACATTAGCTAATAAAACTCGTGCTTGAGAATATTCAGGCTCAAAGTATGTTCCAACTGCCCACAAGCACGCCTCGGCAACTCTATGTTTTGTGTATGTTATTTTAGATTCGAACTCCATTTCTTTGTGCCACCTGAAATGTAATGAGAAGGTCAAGTTAGTGTAAGGCTAACACATGTACGTAAAAATGTGATGGCATTTCCGTGAAACATTTCAATAGCCGAGATAATTACATTGTTACACAAGCAAGCTCTTGGCGGTGCAGCACTTGCAGCAAATTAAAGTCGATCTTCGCAAACTCAAGTAACGTTGAGTTACACTCCTCTTCCGCCTCGTAGTATGAGATATATTGCCTCGTTTCTATCCTGTATATGCCTTTGTGAAATGGATGTTTTAGGGCGTTCTTGATGCGTATTGCGAGATGAGGGCTAGATCGAAAAGAAATTTCTTCTAAATGAGAAATTGAGAAAGCGAGAGCTTCGTCAAGTGAGTCTTCTCCAGGAGTGCTCCATTGTGCAGCTTCATATAAGCTTAACATCCCACTTGCATCAGCCACTAAGTGTTCTTTGAACTTCCCATCCTCGTCCTTGAACTTGTTAAACACATCTTGAGACGTAGATATTAAAAAAAAGAAATTGCATTAAATCAAAACAAAATATTTTATTAACTTCCTTCATTTAATTCCATTTCAAATATTTTAAGGAATAAAATAATTACCAGAAGAAAGTTTGAACCCGAATTGCCTGAAAACTTGGAAAATTATTCCAACCGTGTACAGATCACATCCGAATTGTCTTATCTTCTGATTAAAATCAGGACAATCAAATGACTTCTGGAGTTGCTCTGTGATATCTTCCTCAAAATGATAGGAGACACCAAGGCGACATAGCGTGTCAATGAACTTGATGTTCTCTATTGGATTCGCTCTTGAAGCCATATACGACTCCTTGATAGTCTCCTTTAGAATATTTTGCTTCATTTTAAGTGCATCACTGCCCTATATGGAAGTAAATTATTATGACTAGACATATGTCATATGAGTGAATCAAATGACGGTAGGCTATACTATAAGAGACCCCAATATTATAAATTATGCACGAAAAGAAGAGTTATATGAAGATAATATACGTACAAGATCAGACTTTGAGAACGAAGTTAAGATATCTTCCCAGATGTTCTCTGGAAAATCGGCTAGTGGTCGCTGAACTTCACTATCCATTCTAAAACTTTCCAGTAGCAATCGTCTTCTAATCACTTCTGGTTCCACAAAGCTTTACCATGTCCTTTCTAGACATGTATATATATAGAAAAATAAAACATAATTTGTTCATGATTGAGATTGGGTAATTATTTTACGTATGTATATATATATACAACAAAGAATTAGGTGAGGTGGGCAGGAAGGCATGTGATTATTGTCCATAACATATATATCTTGCTAATATTATTTGAAGACTTAGTTTTATATGTATTTCTCTAATATTAATACATGTTATGAATAGCATATATATTTCATAATTTAAGAATTCCCTAATAATTATATTATTATCTTTAATTATTTCTATAATTTCTGTAAACTTAGGCCATCAGCATCATTAAAGCATCTTAACAAGAGTTTCTTAAATTATTTAGTTTTTATATATACACAATTAAACTTTCAATGATATATTCTGACCAATGATATCATAACAAATTTAAAAGAAGTTTCTAAACAAATTTGGAGATGTTGCACAAAAAAAAAAAACAAATTTGGAGAGTCTTTTTTTTGGAACAAAAATTTGGAGAGTCTATACAAAAAGAAACGGTATCTTTTGTTTTTTGTTTTTTGCTCCTTATCCCTCTTATTTTTAGTATTTTATTATTAGAAAGCCCTCTAGATATCATCGAAAGGCTCGAACATCACCAATGATAATCACGTGTTCTACCAAAAACTGCCAAAATGATGATGCTATACGTATATACAGATATTGAACAACTGGGGCCATTATCGTCATGATAATGACTAGTGTGGCCTAGTGGTAAGGATAGACAAAATCAAGTTTAGCAAATATGAGATTACAGATATCTTTACTTTTTAGATCGGATTAGATTATTATAGAATCAAATCAGATCTTAATTATTCGTCCATCCTTACCAGTAGGCAGCTAGTCTTTTCTTTTTGTGGGCAAACCAGTAGGCAGCCATAGGGTTTACGCATTCGGGTATCCATTCGGGTTCGGATACTCATTCACATTTGATTGGGATCTATTCGGGTTTCGGATTTTCGAGGTTCAAGCTTTTAGTCCCATTCGGGTTTTTCTAAATATCGGTTCAGATTCGATTCGGATTTTCGCGAGTTCGGTTCGGGTTCGTATAACCCATTTAAATTATTTTCAAATTTTAAATTTTTTTATACACTTTAAATTTCTAAAAATCTTGAAGCAAATGATATATTACATATGAATTTGAATCACATATTTCAAAAGACCTAAACTTAAAATAAAAATTGGTTTGGTTTCAATATTTTGATAGAGAATCAATAGATATTTTCAAGTATTTTTGGTGTTTTGAGTATACTTTAGCTATTTTAGACATTTACTTTTGACTATTTGTATATATTTTCAACTATTTAGACAATATGTAAAAGTATCTTATAATTTTGGATGTTTTTAATATACATTAAATCTAAAAATAATTAATATATTTATGTATATAAATCTATTTCAGATACATTCGGGTATCCAAAAATACTTTGGTTTGGATCGGGTTCGGTTTCGGTTCTTTAGATATCCAAATTTTGAATCCGTTCAGATATATAATCAATTTCGGTTTGGATTCACTGCTATTTTATCGGATCATAATTAGTTTAAGTTTTCGGATTCGGATTTTTTGCCCAGTCCCGACAGCAAATCTTCTTCATGATAACAGCCCCAATGGTTTTCAATATTTGTACGTATTACATTACCAGTTGAACATTGGATGTTTATATATATTAATATGTTCAAATATATTACAGGTGGAACGATTACCAAAATCAAGAGCTATCCAAATATATATGATTTATGCGTGTGCCGGGTTCGATCACAACGGTCAAAAAGATAAGATATACCACATAATACATCTTAAACTATAAAGAAGAAGGGGATTTTCAATCAATATACCTCATCATATAACATCACTAATTAAAGTTTTCTGCACGTGACACATGTCCTTTAGCCAAAACTCATCGTTTCATTTATGTGATGTCTTATACTATTCGTTTCAATTATGTGTGTTTTCTATCCTCATGTGACAGCTGCAAGATTTTTAGGGTTTGGTATTCTTCTTCTTCCACAATTAAAGAAGAGTTTTCTTATTCAGTCTCTAGTACATCTATGGAGTTTTGATATCTTCAATCCATGTGAAGAATCGCTTTGTGAATCTTCGACTTGACGTTCTGTCTTCTCTTCAGATAAATGGTAACATTTCTCCTAATTAAATAATCCCATGTATCATACTCTTTGACATCACCTCTCTTTGAGCATGATCTGTTACTAAATGCACCTTATTCATCTGCAAGGCGGTGTCTCTACTCCTATAAGATGTACGCCTTTCTTTCTTTACCCTTCTTGTTATGACAGATGTGAGAAGATACATATTAACAGATTGATAAACAATGAAGAATGACACAGAGATTTAACGTGGTTTGATCCACGGGCAAAAAGGGTACTTTATTAGTGCATGTTAGTTTTTCAGAGTATGCCTCAGAGCCAGATGCCCCTTAGGGCCAGACACCCTTCAGGGCCAGATTAACAGCTTGAGATGTTCAGCAAATCAAGACAATGCTTGAACTTGCTGTGAGGAACCGGCTTAGTGAACATATCCGCAGGATTATCAGATGTTCCTACCTTCTTCACTTCAATCCTCTTCTCATCTCTCAGAAAATGGTACCTCACATCAATATGCTTGGTTCTCTTATGATGAACCTGATCCTTGGCTAAACAGATAGCACTCAAACTATCACAGAACACAGTAGCCTGATCATGATGAAGACCAAGATCACTGACCAATCCTCTCAACCATATTGCCTCCTTAGCCGCTTATGTCAATGCCATATACTCTGCCTCAGTTGTAGACAAAGTCACCGTCGACTGCAAAGTCGCCTTCCAGCTCAAAACAGAACCATCCAAAGTAAATACGTAACCAGTCATAGATCTCCTGCTGTCCACATCTCCTGCATAATCTGAATCAGAATAACTAGTAACCAGTCTTGGATCCTTGTCTCCATAGACAAGACCAACATCATATGTACCCTTGAGGTACCAGAAAATCTCGAACTCATAATTCAGCAGCTCTTTCAGCTTCTGAACATCATACATCTTCTTGGAAGCTAACAGCTTGTCATCTACATACCGCACCAGGTAGATACACGAAACATCCTCCACCTTGCTTATGTAAAAACAACAGTCATAAGAACTCTTGTCGTAGCCCAGTTTGACCATATAGCTGTCACACCTCTTGTACCACTTGGGAGTTACAACCTTTCTCCTAGGTGATAGTGTGACCAAATCCCATGTATGATTCTTCTCAAGAGAATCTATCTCATCTTCCATTGCAACAAACCATTTCTCAGACTCAGAAATAGAAACAATTTCTCTGTAAGTGGATGACTCATAAGTATCCACTTCCTCTGCAACCTGCAATGCATAACCCACCATATCATCAAAGTGATATCTCTCTGGTGGCCTGACATCAACTCTCCTTGATTTATCTCTAGCATTACTGCATTTTTGAAACCCAACATGTTGATTTCCAGAAATAGAGAACTCGTCTGACGTCGATCGTTCGATCCCTTCTTCCGATGTCGATCGACACTGAACATCCGACGTCGATCGACACTGTTGATCCGTCATCGATCGACACTGTTGATCCGTCATCGATCGACACTTTTGATCCATCATCGATCGACACTTTTGATCCATCATCGATCGATACGGTTCATCCGAATGCACTTCCTGCTGCTCCACCTGCTTGTCAAAATCCTCATCCTCTGCTTCAGCCCCATATCTCTTCTCCAAACATGCATTAGAAAACATGCACCTCGTTTCCTCCAGCAAAGTTTGGTTCATTATATCTGCTACACCATTTTTCTGTGGTGTATCTCTGACTGTAAGATCCTTAGTAAATGTTGCATCCTTACAAAATCGATTGAACTCTGATGAACAAAGTTCCAGACCATTTTCTGAAACTGTAGAACCTTCCAGCAAATACAGAGTACCATGAATGAAACCTCTCAGAATCAAATCTAAACCCTTGTAGACACTCATAACTCCATCTCCACCTGAATACTTGAAACCTCTACTATCCAAAAAACTAACTGAGATCAAGTTCTTGGACATAGCTGGAATATGTCTTAACTCCGGTCAATGTACAGATTCTACCCTCATGTGTCCTGAGCTTAATGGAACCGTCTCCTGCAATATCGCAAGAAAAGTCATTCGCCATCTTGATCTTGCCATCAGTCACTTCCTCGTACTCTGAAAACCATTCCCTTCTTGGACACATATGATATGACGCTCCTGTGTCTAGACCCCACACATCCCTAGAATGTGTTTTTCCATGAGCAACTAGAGCAATATCGTCATCAGACTTAGCTTCATTCTCTGCTACAGTAGCGGAATCAGCTTGCTTCTTCTTCTTAGGACAATCAAACTTCCAATTTCCTCTTTCATTGCAATAATGGCAAATATCAGTTGGCTTAGGACCCTTTGTAAACGAACTTTTTTCTTTCCCAAAGTTCTTTCCACCACCTACAAACAACCCAGAAGCTTGGTCATCTGTACCAGAACTAGATGCTTTGTGACGCAACTCCCTGCTATGAAGTGCTGACCTGACTTCCTCCAAACTCACTGTATCCTTACTCCCTATGAATGATTGAACAAAATTCTCATAGGAGTTAGGCAGTGATACCAACAGAATCAGTGTCGCATTCTCATCGTCCACCTTAACGTTTATATTCCTCAGATCTAACATGATAGAATTCAGACTATCAAGATGATCATGAAGTTGTGTACCTTCATGCATCCTCAGAGCGAAGAGACGTTGTTTCAGAAGCAGTTTCTTAGTCAGAGACTTCGTCATGTATAGACCCTCCAACTTAGACCACAAACCAGCTGCAGTATCAGCACCAGAAACTTCGATGATGATCTCATCTGCCAGACACAACAAAATTGTTGAATACGTCTTTTCTTTAGTAACCTCCATCTCAGCTGTAACAGGTTCAATCTTCTTTCC